TTTCAGCTCCCTCCGACCCAACAGCAAGAAGTGTCGGGAGGCGGCGATCAACTCATCTTCTACGAAATCTTCTTCCTCCTTGCACAGGACAGTCCCGGGACCAACCCTCGCATCTATGACCACCTCCTTCTTCACACGGCGTTGGAGCGAGGTCGGGTTCAACCCGTACATAGGTGTCCGCAGCAATGTCGTNCATCTTCTACGAAATCTTCTTCCTCCTTGCACAGGACAGTCCCGGGACCAACCCTCGCATCTATGACCACCTCCTTCTTCACACGGCGTTGGAGCGAGGTCGGGTTCAACCCGTACATAGGTGTCCGCAGCAATGTCGTACGACATCTCACCGCTGCGTACTGCATCGACAGCCTTCTGGGCCCGCTCTGGGTCTACTCTCGCCCGTCCCATGCTTAGCAGCAGGAGGACCCTAGCAAGGGCAAAGATGGCCCACATCAGGAGTGTGGGTGGGGGCTGTGCTGTAGCTCGGCAGTGCTTGACCCAATCGGCACGCTGAAGTGCTCAAACGAGAGCTAACGGAAAGCTAGAAAAACAACACAATCAGGGGTCCCCGCCAATTGTGCGCGGAGATGTTGTTGTTGTTGTCTTCACATTAAAACCCATCCCGGTCTCTCTATCCAGTGCCTCCTTCTGTCTCAATCTCTCCGTACTAATCCAGCACTTGACTCGGTCAATTTCCGTGGTCACAGGCTAACGTACCTAGAAAAGGTATACCAAAATAAAATGGACCCCAAGGGTTAGCAGAGCGATAAATACAATACAAGAAAACAAAATAATCAGAAACAAATTTATAACTAAATTATTATTATTTTGTAATTTAAATTAGTGGAACGTGCGCACCACCAGCCTGGGGGGTAGCCTTCCGGAAGGACCCCAAGGGTCAGCACTTGTTGTTGTTGTTGTCTTCACATTAAACCGTATGTCAGTTGCTAAATGCCAAAATCTAGCAAAGACTCTCAGCCCATGGTCACGAGAGTGCTAGAGTCATCTGAGGATCTAAAGAACACGCACACATATAACGAGAAAAAGGTATCCAAGAGCCCGAAGAGGTACACCTAAAAATCCCTGCAGCACCGTATGTATGCTTGCCCAAAAACTGAACTGCACGTCCGTCCCACCATTCGACTACAGTAGCATC